TTTGTTTGTTTTCGTGAAACGGTGTGTTTTGGTCTTGCCTTTGTGGATGATGATGGGGTCTCGGTAAATTTTTTTCGATTCCCTTGCTCTTCTGAGCTCTGAATACTCATTGCGTGTTGAGTATTGTGTTAAGGTACTTCACCTCATTAAGTGTAATACTGAATATTTCCAACGTATATTGGTGCTACTTTACCAGAATGATAGTTATGAATTATTAATTACAACTTTTATTAATATGTAACTTTAGGCGGAAGAGTTAATGCGCAAAGTAGAGAAGGAAGAGGAAAGACTGCTGACAGAAAACGCAGGGAGCAAAGTATTTCACTTGTGCATAATCAATCTGGTTATAGGGTAAGTATAATAATTAATCTGTCTTTCTCAAATGTAGCAAGTCTTTTTCCACATAGGACCCTTTATTGTTCAAAAGGCAATTACGAATTTGGAATATCACGGATCATCAAAGCAATGGACATCAGTTCCAACAAGCTGGGACCAGACACGTGGTTCTACGTAAAGCGGTGCTTCCTGGCCTTGGCAGAAAATATGGCCAAGCACGTGATATCAGTATCCGACAATACGATCGACGAATGCATCCAATTCTTGGAGCAGTGTGAAGGTGATAAACAAATTTACAAGGGCTGGCATAAAAAGTTTTAATTAATCGTTAATTTCATGACTTCATAAGATTGAATTTCGACTTTGATTTGTTTTTGGCAATGACGAAAAATTTCAGAACATGGCATTCGAGTTTCGACTGTCGTCGATGGTCCGCTGTACGAAATATTACCAGAAAACAGGGGAAAAAATTCGGTTACGTACGAAGCAAGATATCTTAACTATTTGCTGAAAAATATCATGTCTTGTTGAATGTTCGTTTATCAGATTGATGATTTGATATTGATATTTATATTGTTCAAACATATTCTTCTGACTTATTTGCATTCATCACTTTTAACGTTATTTTTACAGTTTCAGGAACATGCACTCAAAAAGAAGTATTTTGTTGTATGGATTAATGGCTTCGAGATATCGTAAGCCTTTGCAGCGGAGGTTTAGGGGCACAGTCCTTAAGAGGTCGACTTCGAATTCGAACTCTGGAGGTTAGGAGTTCCATTTCATGGTAATTTTTGTCCTTACCAAGAATTCCCTTGAACAAGGAATTTACAAACCGTTGCTTCAAGCTCGGGTCAGTAGACTACAGAATCAGAACCGAAAGGTCCTGCGTTCGAGCTCCGGTTTAAGTCGCTCGCCTTTTTCCCTTGTGAGATTGAGAAATGAGTGGTCAGGCGATGTGAAAACATACACTATCTCTGTCACATTGCTACTGTAAATTCTATCTTTAAAAAAGTAAGGCACTTGATTTATGTGATG